CTTGGAAGGTGGATCATTTTAGGAGCAGGTTTGGCTTTTTTGCACTTTATTTTCCAAGTATATTAAGAACAAGATGAAAATTTGGAAAAAAAAAATTGATGAACATCCTTAACTTCAACTTAAGTTCATCACTCTGAGGAATGAAGGCAACATCCATGGGTTTTCATTAGTTTCCCAATTTTTACTACTTGGAAAGATCTAAAAAACCTAAAAGATTAAACGGACCCGAAAATGTGTGTCTTGGATAATGGACTAAACTGGTGAAAAAGAACACAGAACCACTTTGGGATCTAAAGTCAGGCAGTTTGCTTTTCTCCCTGTTAGCTGAGGATGATAATGCTTGCAGGGGTTGTGAGGACCTACAGGAAGAGAAAGCTGGGAGGGGCCCCCTCCGGTGAGGTTCCTTTCTACTGCTCCTCCAGAGTCACCTCCACCCTGTTCACTGCCTGCAGTATGCCTCCTAATTCTCCAGCGTTATGTATTTGAATATTTTGCTTTTGCACGTGTTTAATAATCAGTCAACCTAAAAGTATACTGTGAATGCTGACTACGAGTGCAGCTTGTCCTGGTGTTCAGTGACCAGTGACTGGGATGTGCTGCTGGCCTCAAGGCTCATGAGGAGCAGACACCTAACACAGGAACCAAGTGCAGTAGCATTTTGTGCAGTGGAACACCCTGGAAGCCATTTGCGCATAGAAGGTTTGGCAGAGCAGATCAGGAAAGGTTTCCTGGAAGAAGTGATGTTTAGACTGATCCCTAAAGTTAGCAAGGAATGAACTCAGGGTGGGAAGGAGGAGTGTCCAGACAGGGAAGAGCAGAAGGGCCGATGTGCCTCTTCACTTTCCTTTTACTTTCAACATCCTTATTCATACCCTCTGTGGCAGGCTGTTAGCTGCCTCCCCAAATCCCCTTTCCTTGGGCTTGTGTTAAAGTGTCCATAAAAGAAAAAGAGGTTACTTCTTTTTCCATCCTGGCATGTGGAATGTGGATGTGAGGGCAAGAGCTCTAGCAATCATCTTGGCCCATGAATAGGAAACATAGGAATAAGCACAGGAGAAAGAAATGCTATGAGCTGAAAGAGTGAGAGCGTATCTCTGACACTTGAAGATGGCATGTCTCAGCTCTTTTTTTTTTTTTTTTTTAAGAAGCAGATAAAGTCTTTGTTTCGGTCATGATTACCTTGTGCTTTCTCCCTTGATTATATAAAACTAAACCTAATAATAACTGATCTACCTTTCAAGAGCATTCCAGATCACAATTATTTTATTCTCACAATTCATAGCATGTATTGGAACTACCCTACTACACAAATAAATCTCTGTCTAAAGAAAACATCAGTCTGAGCATTCACTTTTCCTGGATTTGCTTTATCTGGTTATAAGCTCCCTGAGGGGAGAACACCAAGTAATACATTTTTCTTTGTCACTACAACTGAATAAATTTTCTGGCACAGAATAAATGTTTAGTATATGTTCACTGCCTGATTATAGCATCATTGCCCTTTAGAAATAAAGTAGGAATTTTTAATCTTTATTTAGAACTATCCAGAAAAGTAAATAACTGTCCTCTCAGAGGAGAAAAAAAGATAAAATTCAAATTGCCCCACAAAGTGATTACTCCAAGATGCCACTAATATGACTTTCAGTATAGATGAGAAATTTCTTCTACTGCTTTCTTGAAAACAGAAGTCTCCAGCACAAGGACAAGCCCTCATTTTCTGTTTTCTCTGATGACTGATGACGTCTGACCCCTAAAAACACCATCTCATGGTGGAAACTGTTGTATTGAAAGTCAAGCTAGCTTCCAAATGCTTTCCTTCCTGTTCTCTATTCCAAATGCAGAATTCATTTACATTCGCACAAATGACCGCCTGTGTTGGGCCCTTGGTTGCTTGCTCTTTTGTTTATTTTTTTGTGGCACTGGGGATCATCCCGGGGCTTGGCGGGTAAACTCATCACCACTGAGCTAATTTCTCTGACCCCCAGTTAATGGCCTCTCTGCGAACACTCTGTTTACCAACTGCAGGTATTCTTACCAGATCTACATGAACTGTCAGTGATTGACCATTATGGGAAAAAAGGAAAGTGAGGTTAAGGAAGAAAGGAAAGTTACATTTGTACATCAACCAAATGCAGAAAAATGAAATAAGGAAAAATATTTACAATGTCAAAAGAAAACAAAAATCACTTTTTAATTTACTTTCTCTCTGCCAGTTCTGAAACTAAGCACTTGCTCTTTCCTTATTAACTTTAGTCTTTGGAGCAATTTTTTCCATTGTAAGCACTTTCTAAAAAATCATTTTCGCACATTTCTTAGATACATCAATCCTTCCGGCATTCTTCTATGCACACATTATGGTACCCCAGCTCTAAATATAAAAGACTTTTATTATGTCCATTAACCATGGACATATGTGCTCCAAAAGTTTCCTGACACGCAGTCATTTGTGGTTTTTTAATTATAAACAGAAAATATTCACTAGAAAAATAAAGAAGCAAGCCCATAAATATATCTTTATACATTTGAGTTTTGTTTGTATATGACAAAATGATTGGGTAAATGACTCTCAGTTGCCAGCTCCAGGATGTGAGCCTGTATGTGTTTATATGCACACAGAGACACACACACATTCACGTGCAATTGAATCCATGCATCGCACAGAACTTGAACATCTGTAATTGCGGGTGCTGCTGTCTCATTTCTAAAATAAGGGTTCAGATTTTCCTTAGGCTCACCAGGTCTTGCTCTACATGAAAAACTAAATGGGAAAGAAGGCAACGCCCAGTAAAATACTTGACAAACAAAGTCAGATTTATTGAATGCGTTTTATTTTAACAACCAAAAAAATTCTAACAGCCTAACAATGCACATAAGTTAAAAATTAATTATCACTTAGTGATAACAAAGATAGTTGATTTACATGGAAAAAAGAACATTTACAATATGTTAATCCTTATTCACATTGTTGATACTGCAATAAAACACAATTTGTTTTTTTTTTTTTTCATTTCACAAAAAAAAAAAAAAAAAAGGCGGGAAATTGTGCTTTGTCAAGAGGCACTACAAGAGAAAGTTTCTTCTTCCAAATAGATATTATATGACAGATATTGAATAAATAGACATATATGCATTGTAATTCGCAAAGATCTGGCAAGACCACAGGCTAAAATGCCCACAGATTCACTTAGAACCACTGCAAACTTGGCAGTGAAATTAAAAAATAAAAGGCAAGACTTAGCATTGAAAAATACCTAATAAATTTTTGGTTGAAGTGTAAAAGATACCAAATGCGGATGCCATCAATAGATGAACCACCTCGTAAGAGCTTGGCAAAATCGGTTTCAATGATGTGTACAGAGTGACCTTCAGCAACAGTGTAAGAAGACAATTTGGAAAGAGTAACTCGGAGATCAGGAAGCAGCAACCATGGACTTTCTGATTAAAGCTGCAGCATACTACAGAAAAAGAAAGGATGGGCCCAGGGCTTAACTGCAAACAGCCATCCTTTTGCAAAGATACATGACACTCATGTCAAGATAATTTTTTTAAACATCATTATTTGAAAAAGTACAGGAAAATGTCCCTTTAAAAACTCCAGAGGTTACTGAGCAGCTAGAATTAGCTTGTATTGCAACATGTCTTCTCCCTGTATATTGTAAGTTCTGAGTTAATATCTACACATAGAGGTTTTTTTTTTAACTCCTACCTTTTATACCTTTCAAATATATAAATAGTATTAACAGTTATATTACAATGTTTGTGTAGTAAACAGAAAATAACTTTCAAAGTGATATTGCATGAGGTCTTTGACAAGGTTGCATGAGAGCACAACTCAAAAAAAAAAAAAAAATTAAATCACGTGGGACTGTTGAGTGGCCATTGGAAAGCACGGAGCAGGTTCACTAGGCCAGTCCTGAAGGGAAATCTCCTCTTGCAATTACTGTATGTGGGAAGTAATGCTACTGGTGCTTCCAATGGAAGCTGAAAGAGAGCTGGAGAACTATAGCAGATTGCAGCTTTAATGCTCATTCCACTAAACAGCCAGTTGGCATTAGTTCTGCTTTACGTCAGGTAATTGCTATGTGGGTAACTGGGACAGTGTTTCCGTTCATGATGAGTAGGTGATTCTACTGAAATCGCTTCACTTACTCTATGGCCTGGAGCTGCACAATGATTCAAAAACAGGTTCTTGTTAGGGCTGCAATACCAGGGAAAGGGACAGAGGCTTGGAAGATCAAGGACTGAAAAATGTTTGGCTTAAGTGGATGGAATGTGTACAAAGAGGAAGTTCAAAGTGAAATAGAAATAAGAAATGATTTGGGGAAAGGGAGGACAAAGATCGATTTGAGAGGGAGCCCCTTTAACCGGGCAGCAATTTCTTTCCTAACTTAACATTACATTAAACTATTTTTCTATTAAAAAAAAACAAAAAACAAAACAGCAACAACGAACAACTTTTAAATGAGCAGGCTTAATAATTTTAAGATCTGAAGCCACAAGCAGGTAAATAAATTTCACAACAAAATGTGGCTCATAGAATGAATTCCATCTGTCCAATGTCAAAAATGTCATCTATCAAGACTGCACTAAATGGACAAGTTTCCTCTGCACTTAATTTCAGCTTTACTTATCTGGAATTCTTCAGAAATGCATCTGTTTACTACAGTGATGACAAACTGAATAACGGAACGTAGCGAGTCATTTTATTGAGTTATTGTATATGTTCAATGTGTCTTTCTGAGTAATTTGACTTATATTGTTTGAATGTGCCCTGATTTTTTTCACTTTACTTTCTTCTTTTCTTTTTTTTTTTTTTTTTTCTTTTTTGGCAGTGTTGATTTATTTTGTTAAATACATACCTCAAAAATTTTACCCATTAAGCTGCCAGATAGGAAGCCATAGAATAAAAAAAAAAAAATCAGGGACAAACACAAAAAAATAAATAGGAATTCAAAAATAGTCACCCCACCCTGAGAGCAGGCCGCAGTTTATCAAAAAGCCAAAGCGACTCACTGTGAAGTGGTTTTTTTAATACATAAACAAGTCTTTTCTTTAAGAACTCATTTCACAGTCTATTCTTTCAGATTGTAAAGTTCTCTGTCCCATGCAATTTCAATATATATATGTAAATATAGAGATATATACATATACATATACACACACACTTGTAGCTTCCTTCATTTGTTTCGTAGGTCTTCTCATCCTAGAACTTGCCTGATGTCTCTTCCGTAAGTGCAAGGATAACGAAGGCAGAGTCTCCTGTGATTACAATTACTATGGTCCAGTCAACTGTAAAAGTGTAACACTTTAGTGTCTTTGCCAAGGCGATGTCTGATTCAGAAATACTGAACTTATTCAGTCTATCGGTGTATCCTGTGCAACAAAGAAATGTCATAAAGAGTAAGAAAAATAAAACAGACATAAAAAGACAAAAATAAAATAAAGCCAAAAAAATTTTTTTTTTTTTTTTAAAAGAAACTGAAACAGAAAATCCTTGGACCGGGGTATTGCTTTGCCTGGTAGGAGTTCACATTATCTCTGGTCGATCTCAGCAGGCGCAGCCTTGCTTTTCTCGGCGCCTTCCTCCTCGCCCTCCACTTTGTACATCTCCTCGGAGCCCTCCTCGCTGTCATTCTCCTCAGACTCGGTCAGCAGCTCCTCGTCCTTATACTCGGCCACGTCCACCGCAGAGCCCAGGTGCTCCTTCAGCTTCCCATGGTGTTTCACGTGGTACCTCTGGTTCTGGAAGAACTTGATGATGGTGTGTTTGGGGAGATCGAGCTGGGCCGAGAGGGTGTGGATGGCTTCCTGGTCAGGGTACAGGCCGACATCATGAATAAAGCTTTGGAGGATCCCCAGGGCTTCTAAGGAGATCTTTGTGCGAGATCTGGGCTTTTTGGCACAGCTGTCTTCGGTGGGAGGAGGTGGGGGAGGCGCTTCTTCTCGGGGAGGGGAACTCTCCTTGGTTGGCTGTGACTGCTGTCTGTGAAGGACCTGATAAATAAAAGAGGGGGAAAAACGAACATTTGACTCATGATTTTACCTTTCAAAAGTCACCAGCCCACTGCAAAAAATGTGCAATCTAGAAATCTACTTAGGCTGCAGTCATTTGTAAAGTCAAATTTTGGAACACCTAAACAACGTCTGGAGATGGGCAGGATCTCATCTATAGGACAAGGGCTCAACTCTAGTCATGTCTCCCAGCATTTAAATTCTGAGGCACAAAGAAGCTAAGTCACTTGCTGCCCAAGGTCATCTAAATTCAAGCAACCTGGCTTCAGAGTCTTCCCTACCTTTAACCACACCAAGAGATGCCACCTCTCTGGAAGCTAATGACAAAGACTGGATATGGAGGAAAACTGTGCTCTACAATAAGATCCCAGAGGCTCAAGTCTAGACTTTTCTACTTAGCTGGGTGTCCTTGGGTAAGTCACATCTGTGGACTTCAATTCCATCATTTACAAAGGAAGGATAAGAAACTGACTCCCAGGAATGTTGTAAGTATTGATTTTTTGTATTGAATGGCACAAAGGATATAAGCAACAGTGTTCTTAAATTAGGGATAGGCAAATTTTTTCAGTAAAGGGCCAGAGAGTAAATATTGTTGACTTTGCAGGACTACACAATATCTTACACAGTTCATCAACTCTTTCCAATCTAAGTAAGGAAGCATGGGTGTGTTTCAATAAGGCTGAATTTGGCCTATGATCATAGTTTACCAGTAGATCATAATCACAAGCACCAACAGACTCATAATTATTCTTCAAGTGTTAGAAATAGTTGGGACTTGAACTAGAGAAATGAATCCTTTGTACAATCAGGAATAACTATTTTCTTTTAGTCTTGACTTTGATCCTTAAACAATATACATACAATTTCAAAATCACTTTTCTAGTTTTCACAATTTAAATAATTTATCTTTTATTTCTACCTATTCATCATTCATGTAAAAAGATTCTACCCAGGTAATTTTACTCTTGATCTTCACCATTACTGCTTCACCACTGTTTCTCTATGTGAAAGGTTTCTCTATGTGAAAAAATTTCCCATTCTAATATTAATTTATTAACTCCTTCAGTCTGACTAAAGAAAGAGAGGGATATGGGGAGACCATCAGACCTCTCACCACAGGTTTGTGACAGGGACTTCGTGGAGAGGGAACATGACATCAGGTGAGGAACCTCAGCATTGCACACACCTTAACAACTCCAGCACATCATATAAGTAGAAGGCTACCATGACTGTACCTAGTAAACTGTGTGAGGTCACCTCCAGAGGCAACTGCCACACTCTCTATGCTCAGACCTTTTAGAATAGTGAGTCTAACCTTTGAAAAACACATTTCTTCTTTTACCAGACTCTCATATTTTATGCAATATTTTTTTCATACTACACCCACAATTAAACATTTTCCAGAGTTCAGGGCAAATCAGTCCAATCAGTGAAGAAAACATGTCTAGTTAAAAATTCAATTATAGCATCATCCACCAACATCCCTACCCACCATCAGGCACTACTCATGTGACCCAACTTTTTTTTCTTTTCCTAAGAAGCACCAACATCAAAGCAAGCAATGAGGGGGGGTGGGGGAACCTCTGACATTTATCCCAGTCTCAGAGGTCTATGATGAAAAATTACTTCCCCATCAAGTGAAAATGTTAGCCTTTTACAGAAGATTTAATAAATATTAGATAAAATAAAGTAACAAGAGAAAAGGTTTCAATTGGTTCAAATAATCTTCTTCAAATAATAATCAAAAGCAGAATGAGAATATCTGTCCTAATGAAAGCTGATGGCTGGTGGCAGAAAGAAGTCTGAAACACAGGGCTGTAAAATGGTGGCACTAACGTCCAAATAATGTTGACCAATTAAAATCAGTGTTCTTAGCATTTTCTTTACCACTTTCAACTAAGAGTAAACTCATGTGGTCTGTTGTGGTAAGCTGGCATCAGCAAAAAAGTGAGACCCGTTACTTCAACATCCTAATTATCCCCGCCAGGGAAAGTGGAGCTGCGTGTGGGCTTGCCCTGCTCATGTTGGCTTTGACAGCAGGAAGGTATTTGCTCTGAAGCCGTGATGTGGGCGACATGAGCAATGCACTAAATAACCTCTGTGGCTGCAGGTGAGGATTGTCATTTTTGGTGAGAAACAAAGAGAAACTGGCATTAGGTACAGAATACATGCTCGAAAGACATATATTCTAGCACGAGTACTCCCTATTAGAGCAATTGCGTTAATTGGAAAACAAAAGAGAATTAAAATGCCCCATTTTCTAAATTATGCTTGCCTTCTGTAGTAAAAGTCAGCATAACGGTTCCATTTAATTGAATAATTAGATTGGTTCTTTAGGGGTTTTCCGTTGTGCATTGGTTAGATTTAAAGAGATTTTCCAAAACTATACTTTGAAGTTACTATAATCTTTCTGAATGATAGCATTTGTTCTTCTCCTTAGGCCCAATCCATTGCACTCCTCCTCCTCCTCCTCCTGACTTCTTAGAACTGAGCATAGAAATACATATGCACAGAAAAAGTGAAATATGAAATAGAGAAAGAACAAGTATAATAGCTATCACTTGCTGAATTCCTATTCTGGGCCATGCAATTCTAAAAACTTTACATGGATTAATCAGAATTTAATCCTACAGTTCTTCATGAAGGTGTTATTTGGATTAGCTGGAAACATACATCATCTCCGGAGAATCCTCTGATTTGGAAATCATAAGCATAGGGAGATGTCAGCCTGAGAAAGTGGGTTTCCAGGGGACACTGGAGGACTAGGAAGATGTTTCTTAAGAGAAATAACATCAAGAGAGATTCTCTAAGAAGTAAAAATGTAGTTTCTGGTCAGGCAGCATAGAATAGTGATTTGGGCGACATGACAATATCTACGTGAAGGTGATTACGTGATAATTCTAGCACCTTCTAACAGAAAAGGGAAAAGCAGTCAAAATATAAAATGACAAAATGGGCATCTCTGAAGTGAAACTGCCTTGTTAGTCACCAAAAAGCTGGAGCAGAGCTTTTTCTCTTATGCTGCCACTTTTCTTTGGCTATAACTCCCTTTTAACCACAATATACATAATATCCAAGATGAAATGATTCCCAAAGTTATCTGTCCCAACTATCTTCATTCCTCCAAAATGTTCTAATTACTCCAGGCAGAGAATGATTGTCTTTAGACAATAATTCCTAACAAAAGCACTGTGTAATGTCCTCTCTAGTCAATTGCTAAGAATCTTCTTAACATCATGTAGTGCGTTCTTTGAGTGGAGTAAGTACTTTGTGCCAAAATGGAGTCCAGGAGTCGAGCTTAATGCCTATAAGACGTCTTCCCTGGGGAGGAAATGGCTCCAGCCACTCTCCTAAAACTCCCAGGAAAAGGGCAAAATCCAGCCAACTTTTCTTCTTTTTCACACATCTTTGACTAAATAATATCAATTCTTTTAGCTCTTCTTCACAAGACAGGTTTCTGAACTCCTGCTTAACTGAATCCTATGTTTTTCTGTCTGAATTTCCCAGAGCATGTTCCCAATTCCCACTTAGTTAATTTGAATGAATCAAGTCTGGTCTGTGTTCCTAGCAAGTGCTTGAAGGGTTGTGTCATTGATTCCTCGTGAATGGACATATTAACTGTCCTGTTCCTAAGCTCATTTGACAGTGCAGAGATATATTTCTGGAGAGTTAATTGTTTAAGTCACTGAATTCACAATTACTTCAACCAAGATAGAGAATGCCCTGCTGACTTGAGAAGAGACATCCTCTTCTACAACTATTTCTGCACACACTCAAGTTGTAGTAATTCTGGGATTTAGCTGAACATCATCCCAACTCCTTATATAAAACTGTCCAAATCTATAGACTTTCCAGTTTCATCCTGTTACCCTTTTTCAAAACAGGCCCAGTGGAGAGGGGAAAATGGCCTATTGGTAGCACCCACTAAAGCTAATTGCACATACACTGCGTAAAAACAGAAATGAGTGCTTTGTCCTCCTAAAAATATGTTTATAACAGTTTTAATCACAAAATCCCCAAACTGGAAGCAACAGAAATATCTACCAATAGATTGGATAAATTGTGGCAAACTCACAAATAGAGCAGTGTGAAACATACTGCTATATGCACCAATGTGGGTAACTATCACAGATTTATTGTTGAGTGAAAGAAGTCAGATAAGAGGAGGAAGACTATATTATTCCACTTATGTGAAAGTCAAGAATGAGTAAAAAACCTAGAAAATACTCAAGGACAGGAAAAAAATAGGAAAAACCCACAATGACAAATGTTAGTATAATGTTTACCTATGAATTCTACTGAGTGAAGGGGTGGGAGATAGACTGCAGGGATGAAGAAAACATTCTCTATATTGACTTGGATGTTGACTGAAAGGATGTACATGTGTCTAAAAGATTATTGAGCTTAAGATCTATGCATTTTCCTGTATGTAAATTACACCATATCAATAAAAAATGCTTAATAGACCTAGTAGTTGACCCTTACCTATTTCTAAGGTACAACACCTCTCCTCCTGTGATTTTCCCAAATAATGAAAGGTATCATTTTGTAAAGATAGCTATCCATTCCTTTTTACTCTTGATCTTTGTACATATCAAAGACCATCAATTCATCCCAGGTTTATTTTGGTTTGAATTTTTCTCTATAATAGTTGAACTCAAATTAATCTAGTCCACAAACTCATTTCTGATAATGCCTGTAAAATGAGTCCTGGAAGCTTTATTTAAAAATCTTTTCCCTTTTCATAGCTTCTGTTTGATTTTCAATATGACAATTAGGGTTCACAGCAGTGAAGCTTCCAAAACAAAATAATAGTAGTGAAATCTTACTATGAGTCTAATACTGGCCTAAATTGCTATTTCGATTTTATGTTATTCTATTTCACAGTAATCCTGGAGGTAGATATTTTTATCCTCAATTTATAATGGGAAAACTGGAGTTCCAAATTTGTTTGAGATACATAGCTTATAAGCAGCAGAATT